ATAGAGATCTGTGAAATCTACGCACATTCGCCATTTTCCTATCGGCTTTCTCACCATTACAAAATTAGCTAACCATTCTGGGTATGTACATGGCTCTATGAAACTTGCCGCTAAGAGCTTACTGATCTCGGCTTGTATTGCCTCAATCTTTTCTGTTAAGAAGTTCCGCTTCTTCTGTCTGTTAGGCCTGAATTTTCTATCAACATTCAGCTTGTGCTCCATCACATCAGGATGTATTCCCGGCATTTCATCTGCCGAAAAAGCAAACACATTTATGTTCTCTCGCAGCAAGTTGCTAAAATTACAACTCATTTACGAATCCATGTCGGCGCCTACTTTCAATGTTCGACTAGGATCACCTGGCTGAAGTTCAACTTGCATTGTTTCTCCTCCTGGTGCCGGCCTTGGTACTGGTACCGACCTCGCATAAAAGTTTTCCATTGACAAATCTTGCACCTATGATTCTCTGTCCCTTTTCGGGCTATTCACAACTGGCCTTTCTCGCACCGGATTCTTCAAAGTGGTCACATAACAGGATTTTTCCATTACCTACCCCCATGCACCTTCTCCAATTTCCCCGGATTCGATACATACGCAATGGTGAGATGATAAGTTGACACCACTGCCTGCACATCATGTATTATCGGCCTCCTAAGGATTGCATTGTATGCCGACGATGCATCCACCACCAAGAACTCTGCCATTACATCCCTTTTAGTTGTGCCATCTCCGAATCTGACTGGAAAAACAATGATGCCCTCCGGCCTCACATTCGAGCCATTAAACCCGATCACCGGATAAGACACATGCGTCAGCTACTGCTTGCCTATCCTCATTTCTTTGAATTCCTTCCTAAACATGACATTTGCCGAACTGCCTCCGTCCACCAAGACTCGCGTGATGTCGACCTCGTTAATTGTCGTTGTCAACACTAAGGGATCATCATGTGGAAATAAAATTCCCCTAGAAATCTCTCTTGTAAACATCACATCAGGTATTTCTTCCAATCGGGGGCGGTTGTCGACATCTAGTGCATTCACTATATGGCCGGCGGTGCTCCGAAAAAATGCTTTTGTGCTCTGCTTATTGTTCCTTCGTGAATCGGCTCATCGGTTATCACATCAATTTTCTTTCCTATTGACAATGGTGGTTGTCCACCATCTCCCTTGCTTCCAGCGTATCTGTACTTGCTGCTTTTCAGGCCTTGCCTCTAGATGCTGACGTTCCAACTGCCGATACGGTGGTGGTTGATTTCCCCTCGTAGGCAGCCGGTATTGAGTCAAATGATCCTTCCTTATCAGCTCCTCAATGTTGTCTTTCAACTGCGTGCATTCTTTAGTATAATGCCCGACATCTCGATGGAACATGCAATACTTCTTGGCATTTCTTCCTTTGGCCTTCATGGGCATGGTTCTCACCCATCCCACCCTCTTCTGGTTCACTAAGCATATAACAGCTCTAGATGTATTTAGCGGAGTGTATGTGTTGTATTGCATCCGTAACCTCCTGCCGATTTCCTCCTCCCCTCATTGGGGCCGGTTTTTTCGGCCTTCCAGTTTCTATGGCCGCTCCCTCAGACGAATACTGCACTCTGTCTGTTAGAGCGACCCGGCTGCTTGTTTTCATTTGCTCTTCGCTTTTTATGTAGTCATGAGCCTTGTTAAAAGCTGCTGCTAGTGCCGGCAAGTTTTTTCTTATTAAGTGCCGCTTAAACTCATAATCATTCAGGTCATTCATTAATGCCATAATGGCTATTTCATGTTGTAACTTTGTAATTGTGTTTGCATCATTATTGAATCTCCTAATATAGTCCCTTAGAGACTTATCTGCATTCTGCCTTATGGCCATTAACTCCCCGGAAGTTCTTTGTCGAACGCTGTTACTGATATATTTCCCCACAAACATCTCCATTATCTTCTCAAAGCTATCCACTGTACCACTTCCCATGTTGTTAAACTAGTCTGCTATTGCTCCGGTAAGGGTGGTCGGAAAGACCTTGCACCAAACCGCATCCAAATTGGTATACAAAAATCATGTGCCCCTCATAAGATGTTATGAACCTGCTTGGATCACCTCTTTCATCATATATGCATGTTAGAATTTTAACCTTTTCCATAGGCTAATATAAGATTTCCTGCGCAAACGGCGAGGCCCTTAGCTGAACAGTTGTTCGGATCACCCCTTGCCCTACATTCTGCGAGCTTCTCTCCTGCTGATTTCTAGTGTTAACGACACAACTAGAGGATTGTGCCTTTGTCTCCTAGACGGTTGTATGTGTCCTTGGCGGCGACACTTCTCTATACGGGTGCCTCAGCGAGCTCATCGCTTGGTTAAGTTGACTATCAAGATTTACAATGGGTACCCCTCTTGCAGCCCTGGTAGTTCCAGCCTCAGCTTCCTTCCTGTTCTTGCTCAAAGCCGACATCACCCTGCCCGCTATCTCCAAATCCTCCGGGTAAACTCGGTCATGGGATCTGCCACTGCACCAACATGCCGTTTTGGGGTTATCGACATATTAAAATGATTTCCTTCCAAGGTGCGAGTTTCATCCTCTATCTCAACCTCTAGTTGCGCTCCAATCCCAGGATTAATTATCCTGCTTGCCCCATCGTTACTTCCAGGTGTTTTTTTGTTACCGGCCATGGTTTCTCTAGGTAACTTCCTTAGGCAATAGAAGTAATCACTGTCCCCTCCTTCTAGCGCCAAATGTTCTTGTACAGATCTGATTGCCCGTATACGAGATCCGTGAAGACCCTATCGTCTGGCTAAGCACCTACACAGGAAGAGAGGATTAGCTAACTAGCCCCAGGGTGAATCCGGGTTTAACCATTCCGATGATAAAGTTAGAAAGTGCTTGAGAGAAAACAAGAGACGATATGAAGAGAGAGAAATAGAGAGAGAGAGAGAGAGAGGGAGAGAGAGAGAGTGAGAGAGAGAGAGAGAGAGAGAGAGTGTGTGTGTGTGTGTGTAATAAATGCTACCTTTTGATTTGGAGAATCCTACCTATTTATACAGATTGAACTGCCATGTGGTTGCATGCCATGCAAACCACTTTATGCCAGTGTTGATTAACCAACGCCACATGCTCAGTTTTAAGAGGTGCCGATATCAATGTCGTTATGTGACGTTACCGATATGGGTTTTATCACTATAAATCCAAACCCGCTTAGGCCGCAAATGAGTAAATATTGGCACTTTACAAGATATCGTTATCCCCGCCCCCCCCCCCCCCCCCCACAGAGAGTAATAGCACTATAGCAGGGAAGGAAATATTGTTGCCGTATGAAATATTGACTTTGTGTAAGATTAAGCATAGTCATGTGAGTAATTGTTACAATCATCTCAATGTGTAAATTCCTAAATATCAATGTTTATAATTTAATTTATACTTATTGTAAAATAAAAATATGATTTGTTAAAATTTTGTATTGATAAATGTATATGAACTGATCAAAACATTTGAAAAAGTAGAGAGAGTAAAAAAAAAAAAGACTTTTGAAAGTGAGGAAAAGTAGTGGGACATGATAACTATGATAAGGTGATTTAATAATGGTGGTTTCTAATAGTGTGTATTATTTTGAAATGATCAAAAGACGAGCAATGCATTAATTATTCTGAGCATTTGCTATGCCATATCTTTTTATTTGTGTTTATTAATAGTTAAATATACTCCCTTCAATTTTAAATACTTGCTCCATTTTTATTTTTTGTACTATTTATTTGTCCTACTTTGACTAATGTTTGTGATTTATACATAAGAAATAATATAGTTTTGTGGGTACTTGTTGGAATCATCTCAATGAATAGATTATTAATTTTCAATTGTTAGAATTTATACTAAAGGATAATTAAATGTATTAGTGATCAAAAATTAACATCGGTATACGTGTCCAAGAGAAATGGAGCAAGTATTTAAAAACGGAGGGAATATTTCATAAACTATAAAAATTCCATATTTGAAAAGTGGATAGTTGTGTACATTATTAACACGAATTTCATAACATCTCATTTAATTAACTTTTATACTACAAATAAATGTACAATTATGAATAAAGATTTGAAATATTTGATTTGATATATAGTTCAGATCAAATAATCGAATTAGATCAGATGATTAAATATAGGTTGAACGCCTAAACCTCCAAAAATTATATGTTAATTAATTGTAACGCTTTAAAAAACCAAAGTAAGAAAAAGTTCACGTCCATGGAATAATTAATCAAGTCGAGATAGGTCGGTTCAGGTTGTATCAATACTCCCTTTGTTTTTTCATAATGATATTACTGTTTCGTAAATTGATGCAAATTTTTACCCATCTTCGACCGCAAATATCTTTAATCTACTCACCAAGACGAACCAAACTAGCTCCCACATGACTATTTTTAATATTATAAATTTAAGAGAAATTTAGAATATTATCTCTTTTTTTAAAAACGTTAAAGATTTTAAACAAGAACATCATTGTGAAACGGAGGAAGTATTATTAAATCATTTGGATAAGAAATTAATAATCAAGTTAAGATAGATTGGTTTGGAGTATAATATTATTAAGTCATTAGGATAAGGAATTAGTAATCAAGTCCAGATAGATCATTGAGGTTGTATAATATTATTAAGTCATTGGGATAATCAATTGTGGTGACTCCCTCCCTCCCTTCCCGAGAGCTTATACACATACAACCATTGTATGTTGTCCCTACATACAACACCATTAGAAATTTGACACATCAACATAAAGTGGGAGAAAATAAGGAGTCAAATATAAATTGAATTTAATGGAACTTGTGCCTATTATTTTAGTCAATAGAAACATGATAAATTAGAGTTGTATGTAGGGACCACATACAACAATTATATGTGTAGTCATTACCCTCCCGTCCCCCGAAAAACCCAAGCAATTTAATTTGTGATCTCCGCGATGTGCGATATAGTCGGTGCGATATATTAATTTTTTTGCATAATCCAAACAAAGAAATTGTCGGTAAATACACGAACCAATCTCAAATAAAGCAAACATGAGATTATATTTATATCATTATAATAATAGATAAGAGATTACATGAACAAACCCTTTTCTTTTAAAAAGAAAGAGCTTTTACACATATTCATGGATAAAATCCACAATTTAAAAAAAAAAAAGAAAAAAAAAAAAGAAGTTTCCTACAAACTATGTTAAGAAATGGATAGCTAAAACGAGGTAACTCGTAAGTAATTTCTCCATTTCTTTGTAAACAATGTAATTACGGCTTCTACTAGCTCCTTTCATTTATTCTCTCATACTTAGGATCTGCAAAACATTGAGATTTTATTATAATTAATACCATATGTCCATACAGTTACGCTTTTAATTTTATACTTGTCAATGTAAAAATTCATTCACTTATTAGTATGTACTAGTAGAAGATATAATATTATTTGAAGACTAAATATGCAAATTGAGTCTAATATAACAAGATCTCACCTAGCTAACTAATTTTTTTCATGGATCACAAACAATCGTCAAAATGAGAAATTTGAAGTTCAACCATTACATTGAAACGGAGGTAGTATCAAATGAGATTGGATAGCTGGATGGCCTGGAGTAGTATGGTCTTAAAACAAAGTGCTTTAAATTATAAATGTCAACTACTCCGAATCTCTGCTCCATATATATTTAATTCATATGTATTTGATTAGATCTATCGGGGGTGATAACAAAATGAATTACGAAGTACCTATAAAAATAAATACTCCCTCTATTACATATTACTCGCAATAAAGGAATATTTGATGTCTAATAAATAATATTTTTTTGTTGCGAGTAATATGTAATACTCTCTCCGTTACGAGTAATATGCTCCATAGTCATTTTTTTTTCCACAGACAAATCCATGCTTAATTACAAATTAATTATCAAATATATTATGCCCATAATTAAAAGTCAACTAACACGGACATAAAAATTACTTTTAAGTTCTATCTTCAGATTACCAACACCTTAGATTTAAAAAAATAAATAAATAAATAACTACCTTAGACGAGCGGATGATGATGGCGATGATCTAATCGCTGTCGCTGCTGCTGCTGCTGCTACCATCATGATCATGACCATGTTCCTTCTTCTTCTTATCCTTCTTTTTCTTCTTCTTCTCACCATGACCATCATCCTTCTTATGATCCTTACCATCATGTTTATCATGATCTTTATGATGATCACCATCATGTTTCTTATGATCATCACCATGACCAAGGATCTTAGACATCATTCCTCCTTCTTTATGTTCACCATCTTTGCTATGATGACCATCATCTTTCTTATGATGCTCATCTTTCTTGTCACCTCCCATATGAAGTTTCTCTCCTATCTTTTCAATGAAACCTGCCATTTTTTCTTTGTGATTTGGATAATGTTTGATGATGTATGTATTATATGGTTTATATGAATGAATTATTACATCTTGGGGTCGTAAGTATTTATAGGCTCATAAAACGGATTCTCTTTCTTTTTTTTAGTTGAAAATTATCTCTTTTCATTTATTATATTAAGAAATTTTAATATCTTTTTTATTCTTATGCAACTTGTAAACTTTGGATAGGATGATATAATAATTATTTTAGTACGAGATGTGTAAATAGATAATGTTAGATAGATTATCCGCGTTGATATCGTAATTTACTTCACATGGGCCGCTACGTGTATGCCGCGTACTCTACTTTTCACCCTTGCGCAAATCCGGTTAAAAAATTACTCTCATTAGCACCAATTATATGTTGTTTTACTATTATTGACACCAATTTGCTATAAAATTAATGTAAATAATATTAAAATAATTAATTTTACTTAATTTAAAGGAAAATATGTCAATTATAACTATTTAAAGTTTCTCTTTACTTAATAATCAATTTTATGTTGTATTAAAATCTACTCCCTCTTTCCTTAAATTTTTGCCCCATTGCAAAAATTTGGTCAACTTTTATAAACTTTAACCATAAATTACTCTTAATCTATAAGTGATAATATAGTCATGTGAGATGTTGTTGGATGCGTCTCATTGTACATTTTATTGATATTTAGTTTTATAATTTTGGGAAGTTATCACTGGTACACTCTAACTTTTGGCTTTTATTTTTGGTACACCTCATTAAATTTTCATTATCAGCGATACACTCATAATCAACAACTAATTACTACAGTAACTACATCGTTAATCAAACGTTAAGTACTCTTAATCTAACACGTTTCTATTGATAAAAAGAGGAAAAGACCTCAAAGCCCTCCAACCTTTCCCTCCTTATTTAAAAATAAATAAATAAATAAAAAATAAAACTTCCACCACATTTTCTCTTATAAATACAAGATCTTTTCTTTAAACTTTATTTTGCAACCTCTTTCTTTTTTTTTTGTTTTTTGTTTTTTGTTTTTTTTGCTTGCTCAGTTTTTCTTCAATGGCTTCCTCTTCTGCAACAAGATTCATTTCAAGCAACAGAAACATCAGAGGCTTGTGGGTTAAAAGCATTACCTGCAACTGTGATCCTCCAATAGCTGCTGACATCCGGTTCTCAAACTCAATTACAAATGCCGGGAGGCCCTATTTCAAGTGCAGGCTCTGTGACTTTTTCTTGTGGGTTAGTGATGCACACAGTGTGAGGGATGTTGGTGGCGGACCTGGTGACATGTCAGAAGAATCATGTATTCAACTACTTAGGGCAGAATTCAATGAGTTCATGAACAAGACAGATGACTTTGCTGATTTTGCTCATATGGTTGTAAAAATTGCTATTGTTATGTATTTAGTCTTATTAGTTATTTTGAAGTAGTAGCAGTTTGAGTTGCAATGAGAACTTAGTTATGATATGTAATTTGGATTGATTAATAAAGGTGTTTGATTTATGTTATTTCTGCTGTATCTTTAATTATTAACAGCTAATACTTCAATAACAAAAAGATGGTAATACAATAAGGGTAAAAGAAGTAACATAGACAGAAGTCATATATTAACTGCTATAGCAACAGGACTGCAGCCCAAACATATTGTTTCAAAAGGTTACATCAAAAGTAATTCCTACACTTAATGTAAAAATATCCAATTTTTGTTCAAAAATAACTAGACTTTTTTTCTCCAAATAAAAAATCTATCCAAATTCTATTCAAAACATCAGTAAACTTCCAAGTACATACTTAAATTAGACAAAAAAGCAACTACAATAGAACTTGTGAGCATCATACTCAAAACTGGGATTTTGACAAGTCCCGTGGCTGACTTGAGTGTTGTGAACTTGTGAACTCAGTTGCACCTGACCCTTCACCCTTTGACTTTGCTCTGGCTTCTTTTACAGCATTTGTCTGATCTCTAACCCTTGGGTTTTGGATCATAAGTGCTTCTCCAGCCCTTAACTCTTTTTTAGTAAGCTCTCCTTTGCAAGTGGCTTTGTTATGTCCAAAACAACCACAGGTTGAGCATCTCACAGTCCTTGCCCTTTTGCTTGGCTGCTCTTCTCCTGCTTCCCTTTTTCTGTTTTTGCTAGGTCTACCAACTCCCCTTTTCATCTTTGGTGGATGAACATCAACAGGGTTCTCAGCAGCAGATTCAGGCCACTAACTAAGGTCTGGTATAGGAGCAATGCAAAGGCTATACACCTTTTTGTAGGTCTGTGCAGAATACCAGGAACTTACATACTTGTGAGGGTCAACTTTTGCATGAGTCATTGCCTTTAAAGCATGTCTGCAAGGTATGCCAGACAACTACCACGCTCCACATGAGCAAATCTTAGTGTTAAGGCTGAGTGGGAACTGTGATTTGCCCTCATGAATCTCATATTCTCCTGGGCTAGACTGAAAAGCTCTACATGTTGTAGTGGCTTTACTAATGTCTTTTACTAGCTTTGTTATTTTGGGGCACAATTCATCATCACTCAAGGCCATTGCAGCCTCATGCCTTGAAGCTATCCTGACCATGCAAACTCTCCTTATACCTAGCAGAGCACAACACAATTAGACATGTAATAATTCCAAACAAGTGTAAAAAGAAAGACATAAAAGTGGAGGTCATTACCTTCTAATAAGGTCAGTACTGGCCTGCAACTGTCAGCTCCAAGTGTTGAGTTAAAACTCTCAACAAAGTTTGAAGTGTTGGAGTCATTGCACACATTGGGATCAAACTTGTGCTTACTCCACTTAGACTGGTTTCCTAGATCTACAAACCATGTCAAGACATCCACCCCTCCTTCCTTTTGAAGTCTTTCCATTGCCTTTCTGAATGTGAATTTGTTTGTTGCATTGTAAGCTCTCCAGAAAATGATATACATTAGTGGACCTGGGAAAGCTTTCTTGTATTTTCTAGATAGATGTCTACAGCAGTACCTTCTCTTAACTTCAGGTCAAACATCTTTCAATGCCACATCAACCCCCTAAAACATAAAACTTTATCAATGTGTGCCATAAAATGCAATTAATGTTAGGAAAACAAACAAGAAAAAGGAAAAGTAATCTCACCTTCTGCCTGTGAGATATTATTATCCAATCTTTTCTCTCCGAATCTTTCACTATGTTGTGAATGTGCCAAAAAAAAACTCCAACTCTCTTTGTCTTCACTGCTCACAATTGCATATGTAAGTGGATAGATCTTATTGTTTAGATATAATGCTACAGAAGACAACAAAATTCCACCGTAATTTCCCTTTAGATGAGCACCATCAACTCCAATCAATGGCCTACAGCCTGCTAGGAAGCCTTGCCACTGTCCTGCAAAGGATATGAATATGCTTGTGAACAAGTTAACCCTTGGAATGCTCTCACTTTGATTCCATGCCACAAAAGCTTTAGATCCTAAGTTGGTGCTCATAACAACTTCAGCATATCTAGGCAAGTGTCTATATGACATACTCATCATGTCCTCTAAATATCTCATGAACAACATATCTCTTCAGCCTATACAAAGTTGCTTGCTTCAAGTAAATGCCAAACCTCAAAAAAAGAAGCTCATTAAGTGCCTTCCCTGAAATATCTGGATTTTCCCTTATGTCTTCTATCACTTTAGGAGAAGCGCATCTTATTGTACATATTGGATTATACATTTCTAACCCCCTACATTTATGCACATCTGGCCAAATCTTCTTAATAGCCCAAGCCTTTCCCTCAGGCAGCCTACTAGCATGCATCCTCCATTCATAGCATTGTGCCAAGCATGTGACAGTGTACCTCTTGTTGTCTACAACAACCACATCTATTGCAAATCCTTCTTGAACTACATAGTCTTTCAACGTCTCTCTCAAATGACCCTTGTTAATGAATATCATCCAAGGTCTAAGCACTATCTTCCCAAATTTGACTTCTTCATACATCTCTCCATGCTTATAAAGCTTGTCTAGGTAATTATCATCATCAGAGTCATCAATGAAAGCTGACCAAAAGTTAGGTTCTCAGTTGTCTTCTATATGGGGAACATTGTTTAATTCAATCAACTCATCTTCAGGGACATCACCATCAGGTAATATTTCTCCATCTGAGTCTACAAAATAACCAGAATCCTCACCAACAACATAATCCTCATCAATAGAATCATGATATCCCTATTCATCTTCAGAATCATCACCAAAACCATCTGGATCACCACCAACACCACCCAAACCAAAAGAAACCTTTCTTCTAGCACTAGGTGCACTAATCTCCCCTAACTTTTTATACCCTGTTTAGGCACTGTTTCTTTCTAACCACTTCATATACCCTTCCTAAATTAAGTAGTTTTAGGAATTTTTCTAGCAAATAGGGTAGGGTCAGTGATTATATGTGATGGTTGGTTATTTAGACTTGATCTAGGTAGGAGAGTGATGTGCTTAGTTGTGATTTGGGAAGGTGAAAATCTAGGAATTCTTCTCAAAGGTAACTCTTTGAACAAAGTGTGTGGTGAAATTGGAGAAGCTAGGTGGTAACTTGTCACTCCCATGCCCAACTGACACTGACTCTTTGGATTTTCCCTTGCCCTTACCCTTTTCCTCACTCATTCCCTTACCTACAGCAGAAGTTTCACCCTTCCCCCTACCCTTTCCCTTTCCCTTACCTGCTGCACTTTTTTCCTCTACCTTCTCAAATGCCTTCCTACCCTTAGTATATTCCTTACTAGACATGTCTACACCAATATCCTCAAGTTCATTTTGCAAATCAGCAGTAGTAACATCTGGATCATAGTTAAATTATGTACGGAACATCTCATCTACTAAAGGGTCAGTAGCAATGTCATTCAAAGATGGGTCAGTAGCATCAGCATCATTGAAGAACTGATATTTCTTTATCAATCTCCTCTTAGGTTTGAGTTTGGTCATTGGTGCATTCGAAGGTTGGTGAGGATGTGGTTCATTCAGAGGCTGGTCAGGATGTGGTTCATTAAGAGGTTCTTCATTGCTAGGTCGAATTATGTGTTGAATGAATAGTGAAGGTGAGTCTAGTTCATTCACAGGTGGAGGTGTTTCTCGTTCATCTAAATGAGGTGCTTGATTAGCTAGTTCACCAACTATATTT